TATATATATATATATATATGTATATATATATATATATTCATTCATTCATTCATTCATCTTCTGAACCGCTTGATCCTCACTAGGGTCGCGGGGGGTGCTGGAGCCCATCCCAGCTGTCTTCAGGCAGTAGGCGGGGGACACCCTGAATCAGTTGCCAGCCAATCGCAGGGCACACAGAGACGAACAACCATCCACACACACATTCACACCAAGGGACAATCCAGAGTGTTCAATCAGCCTACCATGCATGTTTTTGGAATGTGGGAGGAAACCGGAGTACCCGGAGAAAACCCACGCAGGCCCGGGGAGAACATGCAAACTCCACACAGGGAGGCCGGAGCTGGAATTGAACCCGGTACCTCTGCACTGTGAAGTCGACGTGCTAACCACTGGACTACCGGGCTAAAGAAATGACATTTTGGCATTTTGTTTTTTTAATGGTGTAATAAAATTACAATTTTAAAAAGTGCATTTGAGGTTTATTTGAGTTATCTTGGTCTATTTACCTTTTTTATTTTATTTTTAAAACATTGAAGTCGAGAGACGAAAAAAGGGAAAACGGTTACTCGTGGCACTGTTAAGACACCCTTCATCTGCAGCTCAGCCAGGGAAGAAAGCCACTCGCAGTTCAGTTATCTCATGCGTTTTAAGATCCATTCGTGAGTGAAAGCAGATGAGGATGACAGCTGAGACTGGTGTGAGGCTCCCTGGAGGACAGCGGGTTGCCTTAACCATGGGAGAGGTCTCCTCCTCTATTAACGGCACTGTCGACAGAGTTGCAGAGAGGAACGCTAACAGCTCACGCCCGGCTAAGTAATGAGCATGAAGTCAATTAGGGTGAGCTTTCACTGACAGTTTGTGAGTGGCTACAAGCTGACTTGCACCATAGAAAGTGGATGAAGCATTCAATTAGTCACTTCTCCTCCTAAAGGCGCAAGATACACTTCATTATTTGTCATAAATAAACATGAGCAGAGTGTTGTCAAGAACAGCAATGCTATGAACAATTTCATTATGTCTAATTGGGCACTTTGCTCAGGCATCTTCAGGGAAAAAAAAAATCAAGGGCTGCCACTTAATAAAGATGGTGACAATTTGTAGATTTCCTTTTTTCATTGGTGTTGACAGTGCCTGAGAGCTAGACCCTGGTGCCGTTTAAGCACTGCCCTAAATCAGTTGGCCAATGGAACAATATGTTTTGCTGAGCTTCTTAAGTCAATGTATCTACCGTTGAAATTGCAAATATCTGAATAGAAAATTTGCACCAGCCAAAATTGTAAACAGTACAAATATAGCACGGATGCTAAAATATTAGGCTAAAAACATCTGAATTCTGAAAATGTATTCAGCAAACTTCTTCCTGTGTGGGAAATATTATTTTTTGAAACAAACATATATACAAATTTGACTGTTGACATGATGGTAGAATGAAGAGGAGCGGTTATAGACTGACTCATCATGGATGATGGTTGGTCCGTCACGGATGGCTGCCTCTTCCTTGATGATGTCGATAAGTTCAAAAGTGCTGCTGATGGGCATGTCAGGATTTGGCCACCTGGGGCACTGAAAGTGTCGCACCTCTAATACGTAATCATCCTGATAGTCAGACAAAGAGCGAAACAACAAGAGAGAAGGAAATGTGTTAATGGACTACCTGCAAGCCCTGGTTAAAAAATAATCATCTCATATCCAATCCACCTGCCTACACTGTTTAATATTTAACATCCAGATGTGTTTTGTTATTTTTCCATTACTGCATGTTTTTGAGATGCACGCTATTTGCTCAGATTTCCCAGGAGTGAAAGAACAACACCGTGTAAACAAAATTAACAGGAAATAAGTCACAGTTGGCAGTGGTACACCATTCTAATGTGTCTGATTTAACTTCCGCGGCATACTATACCTACAAAACTGATTTCCTCCGCAATGGAAACACTCATAAACAGCTTTGCAAAAATAACTTGGAGAACATGGTAAATCATACTCATGCAGTGTATTTTGGTATTTTCATACATTGTATAATTTGATCAATAATGCTAAAGAATTGAGGGGGGAAAAAAGAGCCTTTTCATGGCGCTCTGGTTTTATGTGCAAATATGTTAACTATGCTGAAACAGACATGCTTAAGGATGTATTTACCAAAAGTTATCCATACATGCATCCATTTTCTAATCCGCTTTTCCTCACAAAGGTCACGAGCGAGCTCGAGCCTATCCCAGCTGTCTTTGGGCAGTAGGAAGGGTACACCCTGAATTGGTTGCCAGACAATCGCAGGGCACACAGAGACAAACAGCCATTCACACTCACAATCCTGAAGACAATTTAAGTAGGCATGTCGAGCTCCGAGCCTGGAGGGCTGCTGTCCTGCCTGTTTTCCAGATCTCTCAGTGGCAACACACCTGACTCAGGTGATCAGCTCATCAGCCAGCTCTGAAGCAGCATTAGAACGATCCTGATTCTTTGAATCAGGTGTGTTGCTTCTGGGAGAGCTGGAAAACAGGCAGGACATCGGCCCTTGAGGACCGACTTTGGACACCCCTGAGAGTGTTCCATTAACCTGCCATGCATGTTTTTAGAATGTGGGACGAAACCTGGAGAAAAGTCACACAGGCACGGGAAGAACATGCAAACTACACACAGGCCCAGAATCAAAACCGTGGCCTCTAATACAGCGTATGAGACAAAACACTGTTGTTTACAATTTATGAATACTAGCGCTTGATTGTGACCAGATGCGCGCAAGCAACCTGTGTAGCTTCCAGAATGAAGTCATGGATGCTGATCTGTTCCTCACTGGACAAGCAGAGTATGTCTTGGCTGATGAGGGTGACAGTGAAGGCTTCACAGATCATGGCCTCCTCCCGACTGGGCCAATAGACAAACTCATCCTCTGCCTGAAGAAGAAAATCACAATGTTTTGTCTTGTTCTACTCCCCATTCAATTTTCTTATTTCAAGCTGAATACTAAATGAAGGTATAAACCTTTTTTTTTTTTTTTTAATATATGTTTCACAGAAAACTATAATACTGTATCTTATGTCCACTTTTAGGGTTCAAGCAGCAAGGGTTCATTTATATGTACCATTCTACCGCAAAATGTGTTTATCTGCAGATAAAGGTATCTTAAACGGTACTTCGTAATCTTATGGACTAGCAGTGTTGACAAATTAATTACTGGTTTAAGTCCTAAATAAAGGCAGAATGACAAAACAACAACTGATCATGGAAACAAGTTGTTTTGCTTTCATTCAATACTATTATGGAATGATGTTATTAACTATTAAGGGCCAATCACATGAACATTGTGAAAATTAAAAGGCCATTATTCATCTATGCATTTTACAATTACCAGTAATATAATTAATATAATAATGATTATTATTATTGTTGTTGTTATTATGTCTATTAAGGATTATTGCTTGATAAGATATTTCTACTTCACTTTATTACTAGGGTGCAGATATAGGAGCTGCCATGTCTTTAAATGGCTGGCAACAAGGCCAGGGCTTAACTGGCCTCTGCCCAGCCAAGTGGGATATTTTACAGCCAATCCGTCACCATCGTCAGGGCACTCAGTGGAGAAAATGGATGGACGGAGGATGGATGGAGCTGCACACACGCCAGTAATGGTTCATGGGTGGAAAGAATCATTCCGAACACGGCACGCAGACGGACCTTTGTCAAGTTTTAAAGTCACAAAATCCCGTATGGTTCCACACAGACTCACTCGTTGAGAATAAAAGGCAGCGAAAGCAGGAAGGACGTTTTTCTTTTTATAGCACAGCCGCAAAGCCAGTCTTTACGTGTATAGCATTGCCTTTGAAAAGAACAAGTAGTTTACAGTCTTTTCCCGACTCCCAACGTTCTGGCGTTGGTCTCCCAGTATTTATGATTTCCTGCTTTGTTGGAAAGTCCAGCTTTGAAAAATTTCTTAGTTTGGAAATTAAATCCTCCATTTTCAGGGTGAGAAATGACAGCTTGTAGGCTCGCACAGCACACTACCTTTTGCACACGGGTTCACCGTGACCTGACTGATAACAGGCTATCAGGCTGCTCACTGTCGCCGCCTTCCTTGAGAGGTACTGGCTGCCTCAAGGCAAGTAATTTCCCTGTGGATTTGCGTCACAATGGATGTCCATGCCACACCTTTATTTAAGCAGGAAATGCAGAATTTTCTGCGATTTTTACGATAAAATGGTCAAAATACATTAACACCAAAATCATAGTCTCGAGGACAAATATGAATGTGTGTGTTATTCTATTATTTCGTTTCTTTTTCCTCCCATGATGACAGGGGAGGCAAAGCCTCACCTGCCTTGCCTGAATGCACGTCACTGAGCTTTTACTTTCTCCTCTCTAACATAATTTTATAACAATATGCCTGCAATTAATTATATCTGGAACCCTTATCAGGCATGGCACAATATGATTTTCTCCCTTTCTTCCTGCCAACCAACAAATACGAATAATGCTAATAATGAAGAATTTCTACATAAAAATAAAAACAATTGATTATACCGTAATTACTCTAAATGATGATTAAAACTGAATAAAAAAACTTGGAATGTACAACAATAATAATGTTCCAACATTGAATTTACAAGCGAAAATCATTTTTTGGCCAAACTAAGCAAACCTGAATACGCCACTAGACTCCTCTCGGCTTCCTTACACTAGGAAATGACGCTCCCTCGTGTGACGTTCATTGTGAGCAGATGTGTTTGTTGTGATTTGAATCTGACTGTTTTTTTTGTTATTTCTGCATTGTGTATTAGCCCCTAATCATGGGCTAGTAAAATTGTTTCATATTTTGAACAAATCACTTTTCGAACAGCCTTCTGGAACGGATTATGGTCGAAAAACCGAGGCATGACTGTACTTCTAAGAATGCCACAATATGATTGGCTGCTTGCAGAGATCGCAAAATAAGTTGCTTCTTTGAAGTTAATTATGAGAAGGCTTTTTTTTCTCCTCAGCTGAGCAGAAAGGGGAGACGTGAGAAAAGCACAAAGTGGGAAGGAGATGACACAGAGCAAGTGCGGTAACTTCAGTATAAGAACTTGGATCTGTTTTTGCTGTGTAGATTAATGTGCATTGTTCTTAACAAAAAAAACAAAACAAAACAAAAACAAAAAAACATGGTGCCAGCAGATGCGAGTTTTGACCTATATATATATATATATATATATGTGTGTGTGTGTGTGTGTGTGTATATATATATATATATATATATATATATACCGGTATATATAAAGGGTAATATTCAATGGAACAAAATGTTCTTTTTATTGACCCGATGATTACAAAAGAGAACATTTTAGAGCTGTGTTTCAATAGTGTGACACACAGTGATATATTAAATGGGGTTCAAGTCAGGTGAGTTTGCTGTTATGAAACGGCTACTATGGATGGAGGGTGTCACTGACAGTTTTCTGCACAACCCTCAAGTCAGCAGTCTTCGCCATGATTCTGAAACCTCCTAAGCCAGAGTGACACCTTTTCAAGGCTACGGAAAATCCCTGCAGGTGTTTTGCCTAAATTAGCTGACAAGATTGGGACATGGAGCGTCCTGCGTTGAGCTTTGTCATGATATTCTACTTTAATGAAATACAGATTTATTTATTTGTTTTCTCTTTTACATTTTGTGTGTGTGTGTGTGTGTGTGTGTGTGTGTGTGTGTGTTTACTTATTCTGATGTCCCTTATTTTTTTCATCTATTTACTATTTTACCGTATTTTCGTGTTTTCTATTATTGTGAACTGAAGCATTTAATAATTTCACAATATAATTTTTAACCTTTTTTTTAATGCGCACAAGTCGATAAGTGACTTGAATATTAAATATGAATAGTCACATCTTTGCAGCTTTGAGGAAAAATAAATGAATAACATGGGTTGTTTTGTTGTAATTTACCCGATGGTGAAAAAGATTTTAATCCCGACACTCAAAATGTGTTTATCCGAGGTAAGCACTTGTTCTGTAGTACAGTCAAGAACACATTGCAGTTTTGAGTTTATCAACAATAGGCCTAAAGCAGACAAGCTGCGCACACTCCTCAGTTTTGCATCACAAAACACTTGTAATGGTTGTATGTGCATGTTTATGTCCTAAGGCATCTTACCAGTCCATGGTTGGCAGGCAACATGACAATGATTTGTGCATTATGGTCCCAGATCATTCTCCAGAAATCTTTTGTGGTGTGGGGCAGAGGATGTTGGGTAATGATGAATTCATTACTACGGTAGTAACTCTGTGGGAGGCGGGGAGAATAAATTCAGAGGGAAACTAATGCACATACATGCATACACACAAAATGGCAAAAATAAGACTCATTTGTAGTGAAGTCCCGTTTCAAAGACATTTCTATACAACGGCATTCCATTATTATTTTTCAATGCAACAAGTATTATTTTCCTCTCGCTAAAATTTTTCAGGATGGGGATACACATTTATCATGAATACACAAAATTTAAGTGTGTAACCAAGTTGAGGACATGAATTCACATTGGTGCATTGTGTGAACGGAGCGTTTGGGAAGAACAGGAAGTACTGACCATGATGTAAGAGGCGTTAATGTAATCGCTGCCCTTGATGCCAGGCAAAGGGGTTAACCTCACCCTTGCTTGTTCCGCTGTTCAATTAGACAGAAATGAAATAAACCATAAACAGATTGGCAATTTGAGTTTGGTAAACCAACACTGAAAAGTTAGGTACAATACGAGAAGTCAAAATAATGTGACACTTTGCATGTCAGAGTAACAGAGATTTCCCTTCCCCTGTGCAAAATGCATTGTTCTCATTTGCAAATTGAATTACATGGGGATGATATGGAAACATGTAAAACTGAAACCTTGCAATTCAAATGTCCTGAGAACCTTAACTCATTTCTGAAGCGAGTGAATCTTCGATACATCTTTATACGCTTTGTGTGGCTACATCTGAGCAGTTGATGCTATTCTTCTGGATGTTCATCCTAACCTCAAGAACAGAGATGAGCAACGGGTATTCCCTGGGCCACATGCTGCTTGTGCCCACATTATGATTGGCTCTAGTTTTTTTTTTTTTTTTTAACTGATAAAAATGTTTTTGTGACTACACTTTGTATGCAGCGATGGCTGTTTGAAAGTGCTCTATAAATACAGTTGAGTTGAGTTGAGTTGAGACTGCACTTATAAGACTTTTGCTGTAATAACATTATTCACCACCAGAAGGCAGACATAGTACCTCTACTATGAGGCCACGTCAAAGCAACACCAAGGGCAAATCAGAAATCAAGAAAGTCTTTCTCGTAAACTTGGAAGCAGATTACAGGTTCACTGAATTAAAATGCATATCTATGTGTTTATTTTGCTTGAAGATGCTACCACCAAAGAAAGACTTCAACTGAAGTTGTCACGACAACACTGATCGCAAAAGTACACAAACAGCGATCCACCCCCTGAGCCCTCCACAAGAATCGTTGACAGGTCATTTAAAGTGCACGAGGAGTCAGACAGGTGGCCGATACATTTCAGGATTTTTATTGACATGCAGGACAAACCCCCCCCCCCCCCCCCCCCCACCCCCCACCCCCAGGAGAAGGGGGAGGAGTCAGAGACACAGCAGCACACTGTGAACGGCATTTTTTTAATTTAATTTTATTTTTATTTTTTTATGCATAACAGTTTTTTGCCCTGAAAAAAATTGTTTATGATCATGTCTTGTTGAAAGTTTAGGTTTGCATTTGAGTATTAAAGTATATTAAGGTAATGTGACTTAGAATGGTTAAAAAAAAAAAAAAATCATATGGGATGTACACATTTTAGCCACACTTAAACTGGTGTTTTTGGCATACATCTGCTGAGGAAAAATAGTGGCCTCCCTCCACCATTTAAGTCACCCTTCCTCGCTCTATAGAAGATGGGGGTGGCTAATATCAATCTCCATGTTCGTTCTTTTCATTATCATGGGATTCATTGCAGGATTGGATGATTTTATTTCAGTCAGAGACTTGTCCCAAGGAACCCTCTTTATAGTCTGCAACCTGGTTTTTCCATTGCATTGTACTTCAACATTACACTCATCATTCTCACTAAAATTTTCTTTCAGTTTCTGCACCTGAGGGCAACCACGATGTGGACAGCAATCCTTCTTTATTGAACAGGTAAAGCATGTTGAGTGAGACCTATTTTGGTTCAAGACAGTAATCTGTACTCCTTACACGGTCTCAGAATGCACTGCATTAAAACTGAAGCCGTGCATTACCTTGCATCACCAAGTTCTGCTTTTCTGAAAAATCCAAGGCATAATGCAATGCACCTAGTCTGGTCTAGTCAAGTGGAATAAACTTTGTTGAGTGGTACACCTTGTAGCATTTTCACATAATGTAAATGCTTATAGACAAAGTACAAACGCTGGTACATATCCCTGATCATTCTTTTAGGATTTGTGTTCCTGCTTCAGGCAATAACTGGAATATTATTTAACCAAAATCCAAGACTTACATGGGACGACTGAGGAAATTCGATTTTTCTCTTTGTTGCACTCCTTCTGAGAACTGAAGCACTCCATGAATCTGGCATTGCACTGGGTAATCAACTAAAAACATAATGGAAGAAAGGTGGCATTACCATTTTAGAATTTCAGCCAACAATGCAAAAATAACATGCATTCAAAACAACATTCAAACTAACAGTACATCGTTCTGACCCCAGTGAAAACACTTTAAACTTACATCACGACAAGTAATAGACGCCTATTGATCCAAAGGTTAAGAATTTCAACATGCCCTTCAGCACAAAATGTGTTCAAAATGACAAAATATTTTTTTGCATACATTGTGTGTGCACTTTTTGCAGATAGACATGTGTTCTCCAATATGGTTGGGTGACCAAGCGTCCTGTTTTGCTGGGACAAATCCACTTTTTTACACCCTGTCAGGGCTTCCGGGAGGGTTTTATGAATTCATGAACATGTTCAGCTTTAATAGGTTTTCACAGGACCATTTAGCATGTGTTTACAAAGTAATTTGACTGATGTTTTACCTGACAAATGAGGGGTGGAGTGTTCCCCCCCCCCCCATGACAGAGTGAACCGTTACTGGCGTGTGTGATGTGGACACTGGCAGGGCGGGGAGAACACTTAAGGCAGGGGTGTCAAACTCATTTCACATTTGTGGGCCACATACGGCCTCAGTAGATGTCAAGTGGGCCGGACCATTAAAATTATACCATACTCTGCTATAAATAACCAACATAATATGTCTTTCCTTTCTTTTGGTGTAAAGAAGCACACGAACATTAGGAAAATGTTGAAATTTAATGAACATATCTTTTACAAAACATTTCATGAAGCACCTTAGATTTCCTTAGACAAATGTGCAATTTACTTTTATCATTCACATATATGCATTGCAACTGATCCCACTGATTGTATGAGGCACACAACTTTAACAAGTAATTGGTATTGAAAAATATAGTAATGCATTTTAAGATGAAACGCGATTTATAAAGAAAGGAATTTTTAAACCATTTACACATGTGCACATAAAATGTACATTTAATCCCTGCCTACACCTTAGAAACTAAGGAGAGGGCTATTATATGTGTAAAGAATAAAGTAATCACATGTCCTTGATAGCGTCTGCTGTGTTGGGTCTGTCTCAGTGACAGACTGAGGCTGCTGTTGTCTTCTACTCTGATCAAAACAGTGTGTCCCCTGGCGGATACCCCATGAATCGCACCTTATAAAAAATATTCATTCCGTGTCTTTTATGCATTTTTTCACTTTTAAATGATCCTGCGGGCCTGATCGAACCTCCTTGGGGGCCGGTTCCGGCCCGTGGGCCGTATGATTGACACCCCTGCCTTAAGGGAAAGCAAGTAGCGGCAGTCAGGACAAGTATGTGGAGCAGGTGCGTTCAGTTACAAGCGTAAATGCCAACTGTTTGCTGCTAAAATAGGATGGAATGATGATGGAATGACATCTCGTTCATTTGTCTGTGTCGGTGTTCACTGCTGTGCTTGAAGTCACTGCACCGAGAGGTGCGCTACATTAAACAAGCCAAATACATACTGCAGTCAGTTCCCCCCTGACTGTGGTTTGGAGTTGAGGAGAGTGATGACACACGATAAAGTTAACAGTGAGCAAAGCTCACACGCACACGTTTCAATTGCAGATAAAAGTGCCGGTCAGAGATCTGAAACCTTACATGGACACAAAAAACAAAAACAAAAAAAAAAAAAAACAAGCTGTATGAGGAGAGCGTTCATCTGCAATGTTGACTGAGCTATTTTATTGTTTGACTCGGGAACACGGAATAGAAAAGAAAACAATCATGTGGAAGAACACAACAGACTGAAGATTCCACAGCTACGCTGATGATACACAACTGTATATTGCCGTGTCTACCTTTTGAAATTGTATTTTAGATATTAAGTCATGAATGGCAGAGAATTTCTTACAGTTCAATCAGGACAAAACTAAGGTTTTAGTTATTGGCCCTGAAGATCAGAAAGAGAAACTCTAACCAAAACTACAGTATCTTAAACCCTCACAGTGTGTGAAGAACTTGGGTGCTATTTTTGACTCTGTGCTTAGTTTTATTCGTCATTTAAAAAATGTAAATAAGATTGGTTTTGATCATCTCAAGAATAGAGCCATAGTCCACCCTTTTCTCTCTCAGGCTAACAAGGAGGTGCTGATGTATGCTTTTATTTCCTGCCACTTAGATTATTGTAACGCAATGCTCTCTGGTTTTCCTAAAAAGACTATTTCAAGAGTCAGTTCCCCCCTGACTATGGTTTGGAGTTGAGGAGAGTGATGACACACGATAAAGTTAACAGTGAGCAAAGCTCACACGCACACGTTTCAATTGCAGATAAAAGTGCCGGTCAGAGATCTGAAACCTTACATGGACACAAAAAACAAAAACAAAAAAAAAAAAAAACAAGCTGTATGAGGAGAGCGTTCATCTGCAATGTTGACTGAGCTATTTTATTGTTTGACTCGGGAACACGGAATAGAAAAGAAAACAATCATGTGGAAGAACACAACAGACTGAAGATTCCACAGCTACGCTGATGATACACAACTGTATATTGCCGTGTCTACCTTTTGAAATTGTATTTTAGATATTAAGTCATGAATGGCAGAGAATTTCTTACAGTTCAATCAGGACAAAACTAAGGTTTTAGTTATTGGCCCTGAAGATCAGAAAGAGAAACTCGAACCAAAACTACAGTATCTTAAACCCTCACAGTGTGTGAAGAACTTGGGTGCCATTTTTGACTCTGAGCTTAGTTTTACTCGTCATTTAAAAAAATGTAAATAAGATTGGTTTTGATCATCTCAAGAATAGAGCCATAGTCCACCCTTTTCTCTCTCAGGCTAACAAGGAAGTGCTGATGTATGCTTTTATTTCCTGTCACTTAGATTATTGTAACGCCATGTTCTCTGGTTTTCCTAAAAAGACTATTTCAACCTTAGTGTTACTCCAGAACTCAGCCGCAAGAGTCCTGACAAGGACCAGAGGGCAGGAACACATTAGACCAGTTTTCAAATCGCCGCATTGGCTTCCCTTGTGTTACAGAATTGATTTTGAGGTGCTTTTATTAGTTTTTAAATGTCTAAATCCTGTCAAGATTGCATAATTTATTATAACCTATTTGGTTTAGCACTCTCAGTCCATGCAGTCCAGCCAAGTTTGTAGTATAGGTGGAAATGTAAACAACTTTTTTTAACTTGCCTTATTCCAAATTAAGTAATAGAAATAAAGCATATAATGTTGACAATTTTTGAAATGACTTTAATCGGAATTGTTTTTGTTTCAATTGCATTTACCCTACTAAGATAACCATGCCTGGGTAGCTAATGTTAAATGTCATATTGGGAGGTCTTTTTGTCATCACTCTAGTTTCAACAGATTTTTCGTTCTGCTTACCTATTTCTGTTTTCTTTCGGTAGCTCGGTTACTGGATGACTCTTTAATCATGTTAGGTTGGCAGATTATGTACATTTTGTATTAACGGTAATGGCAGGAATATTTCAAGTGAATTAATGCATAATGTAAGAAACAATATCAGTATAAAATATAAATCATCACATCTAAATGTGCTATTTGAGTATACATATAGAACATGAAATGATTTGTCCCATCACCTTAAACTGTTTTTCCACACGTGTCCGACCACCGTGTCCTGGTGTCTTGATGGTGTTTGTGTAGTGATGAAGCTTGCTGGCTGCAACCTCAGTCTCCTTGCCCAAGATGGCTTCCACCAAGGCATCATGAATGAATACATATTGTTCCTGAATTAACCAAGCAAAATGTGATGCATCACATTGCATTGTCAAACAATTACATTCATTATCTCTACTTGCTCAATAAGCAGCTTGCAAAATACACCATCTTAATGTAAAACTACAGTCGATGGCCGAACAACTACAGTGGTGCCTCTACTTAGGAAATTAATTGGTTCTGGAAGAAATTTTCAAATTGAAAGTAGAGACGCGTTTTCCATGTAAATGCCCTAATCCGTTCCAAGCCCCCCAAAATTCAGACATAAATGTTTTCTAAAGCATAAAAATGCATCAAAATATGTCACAAATACATGTTACAATTAGATTATTGCACAACAAATGAGAGTTGTGCATAATGTAAAAAAACAAAGAATAGAGTACAGTAAAAAATAAAAATGATGGTCATTTAACTTTTAACTGCGTGCTCATCGGTTTTGCCCTTTTTAGGGCATGTTCTCTCTCAGAAGTGTTTTTTGCCTGGCGACCTGATCCAAGGACGTTTGCTTTTGTCGGCTTTTAACATTCCTTCAAAAATGTCCAAAGCAAATTTCAGCATAAGGAGCGATCGCCCGACTGGTGAAAACCTTTTCTGTGTGATTCATATTTATGTAAAACGATCGTAACACCTCATGGCCCGAGAGGCGATTGACGAGGCCGCTGCATAGACACATATCAGTCTATCTACACGCGCACACACATTCGGTAGATGTCCCGCTTAGCCAATGGGATGCCATGATGCAATAGCCGATGGCAGAGCAGCTATAAGTATATTGCATTCAGGAAACTCGGAGCTGCGAGCAGCAGCCCATCCTGTATTTTTATCTTTTGTATCTTGAAATTTCTTTCGTAACAAAGAGGCAATATTTTCCTGTTGAGGCGTTTCGTCACTTGAAAATTTCGTATGAAGTGACGTTAGTAAGTAGAGGTACCACTGGACTTAAAAATACTGAAACGTACTGAGTTTACGAATATTCTAAATATACTGTACACCTTCCAACACTTAAAATATGCTGTTTGAAATGAAAACAAGAGCTAGAATGGAACTGTTAATGGATTTAAGTGCGACATATGGTAAATCCACTTTCAACAATATGAATAAATTTTTGTCCAAATACGTATTGCGGCAAACATTTTTTCCTGAAGCAAAGAGACATACAAACCTCAGTCTGTACTAAGTAGTTGCGCTGAGCACGTATGTGTTTGAGAAAGCCCAGTACGTTAACAGTGCGCCTGTCCTTGATCTGCTTCAACATGCTGTCAATAAGGATATACGTTCCCGTGCGACCCACTCCCGCACTGCAAAACAATACAAAGCAGAGGAAAGCAAGAGTACAAAGGCAGGATAATTATTTCAATGTGTGTCTCATTTGCAATGCCAGTTGGTAAGTGGAAAAACAAAGTGACTGATTTTGTTTAAAACAATTGTCTAACACAAAAACAAGCTTGCTATCAAGTGACAATATTTGCCTTTGTGAATTGAAGATCATGACAAACTGACATGTCATGACGCACATGTGAAACAAACACTGGAGATAGTGGTAACTAGTAGTAGTAAGTAGTTGTATTGCAGTATGTACAAATACAATCCGCAAATATTGTACAATATACTGTAGTGTGTATATATATCAGAGGCGATTGCTCTAAGACTGCAAGGGAAGCTAAGCTTCCCTGAAAATGTCAAAAAATAAGTGTTCAAATATACGGTATGTGTGTACATATTATTGTGTGTACATGTCATTGACGAAATATGCGCTACAACGCGCTCAACTTTTGTTCTGAATCAGCTTCTTATGATTGGTTACGACGCGGCTCTCTTCTCATTCATTCCCGCAGCTTCACTGTGCTTTAAACTGTGTGGACGGTGATCGTCCACAGTGCGGACGCTGGGCGTCTTGAGAGTTCAGAGCCCGTTGTCCCAATGCATTGAAATGAGAAGAGTCATTGGATAAGTGGTTTTGTCCCGCCCACCGGACGCTCAGCGCCTCTGGGATTCTATGGACAATGGCCGTGTATCGGCTGGCCCCGTTCAGCTTTTCTGCATGATGATTGGATGATCTGTCTGAGGCTGAATCTCTTTTTGATTGACAACGAAATGAGCCAATCGCTGATCTTTTGGTGTAGGCATCCGTGGGAGCATCTTTCAATTCTCATTCGGTTCTGAGTTGAACTGGAGACTTCTTCTAATCATCTTAGGGACACTCTCTTTTTTGAAAATGACTAGCGACAAAATAATCTTTAATTTCTGGTGGGTTTTATTGTAGTTGCTGTAGTTGTAGGACATTAGTTATGTCATGTCCCGTATTCGACAGCAGGTGGCAGGCACTCACTCTGCCACCTGCACACCTGTTGTGCATTTGTTTGTGATTACACCTGCTCACTGTAGC